ACTCTCACAGACCAAAGAGCTAAAGAAGGAAGACAACACAGAGGACCTGCTGTAAGATTTCATTTATATCAAGTTCAAAAGAGCAGACACAACTCACGTATAGTAACCAGAATTAGATCAGTGGCTGCTTCTGGAGTGGGGGAGCTGACAAGGAAAGGGTCCAAGAGAAATTTCTGGGGTGTTGGAAATGTTCTCTACCTTGACCTGGTTAGTAGTTACACGAGTATATATATTTGTAAAAATTCATTGACCAATACTCTTAAGATCTGTGTCTTTTCTGCACTTCGCCACGTTTAAGTTACACCTCAACAACAAAAAAGATAAAGAAAAATAAGTACCTGTAAACTTTTCCTTATAGATTCCATATTACGATATTGAAAGTTTCCATGACATAGTGAGACTGAGACAGGAGGGAAGGGTTCAGGACACAACCTTTAAAAGAATGACACAGGACTTCCCTGGTGGTCCAGTGGTTAAGACTCCATGCTCCCAATGCAGGGGTCCTGGGTTTGATCTCTGGTCAGGGAACTAGATCCCGCATGCATGCCACAACTAAAGACCCGGGGCAGCCAAATAAATAAATATTAAAAAAAAAAAAAAATGAATGACACAGCCCCTCAAGGATACGACTAAAACTGTTTAGAACCTACTAGGCCCAAGGTGACAGAAGATTTGACTTCCCTAGACCTTGAGCCTCATTATACATTTGTTGCAATACATCAGCATATGCTAAGTGACACACCCACAGGCACCATAACAGTTCTGAGGCTGACCATAAAAGGCCAAAGAGTGGGTGGTGGCCCAATTCCTGGAAATCCCCGCCCCCTCCCCCAAAATATTTGGAATAATCTCACTTGTTAGCCTATGAAATTATCCAGCACATAAAAACTAACCACCCCCGCACCCCAGTGCCACTCTTGCCTTCTGAGATGGTCTGCATTCTGCCGATGGAATGTGTTATTTCTCTAAATAAACTTACTTTCACTTTACGGTGGCTCGCTCTTGAATTTTCCTGAGTGAAACCAAGGACCCTCACTTGATGGCCCGTCCCTGGGACTCGCCTGGGACATGACCGTCTTCTTGCACCCCATTCTCCTGCAACAAGACTGGGGGATAAGACAGCCATGTTTTCTCCACGGTGGACCCCACGTCCACCTCCAGCTACTGCTCTGTATCTCTGCTCCCTAGTCGATCACCATCTTTTGGAACTCTGTTTCCTCGGCCCCAGTTTATCACCTCTCCTGATATTCCAATTCCTAAATGTGGGAGGCCCAGGGCCCAGTCTCTGCTCAACCTACTCCCTCAGGCTGGATGGTGTCAGCAAATTCCGGGGCTTTAAATGTCATCTATGTATTAACAGCTCCAAAATTTAGCACACTTGTATAGTTATTGATAAAATGACAGGACATCTGAGGTTTGCTTAAAAGCTTAAAAAATAATACAGAAACTCCAGGAAAAAGTGTGCTTATATGTGGGAGAAGAAAATAGAAGAAATAAGATAAGTAAAATGTGATGACTCTCTACACTGGGTGGTGGGTATGTGGGAGTTCTTTATACCAGAAAACTTTTGTGCGTGTTTTTAAAATTTCATAATGAAAAGTCAGTAAAAATTCTGTATCTACAAACCCTGGCTTCGCCCTAGTGCAACCACTTACTTAGACCACTTAAGATGTCCAATGTGCATCTCAAAGTTAAGCAGTTCAAAGCTTGTCAATTTCTCGTCAAGTCTACTCCTCCCCAGCTTGGTAAAAAGCATCACTCTTCACCCAGTGGGTCAGGCCCAAACCTTCAGGATAACCTTTAAGTCATTCCTGATTCATGCTTCCTCTCACATAACCCTCTTCCTGAGTCATCATCATCTCTTGCCCAGGGAAGAGACAGCAGCTTCCTCATCTCCTGCTTCCACTGCTGCCCAGCTGCAGCCCATTCTCCTCACAGCGGCCAGCACTGCTTTAACTTTTTTGTGCATAGATAAGAGTCACAAAATTCAAAAACATGAAAGACTTAAGACGTTTTCCTCCACATCTACCTATAACCTTCACCCCCACAGGGAACCACTGTTACTACTTTTTGAGAATAACACTAGAGAAATCTTTATAAAACATACCTCACAACATGCTGGTCCTTGCTCACGGCCCTCCAAAGGCTTCCTGTTACACTTGGAAGTAAATTCAAAAGCTCTTACCATGGCCCACAAGACCCCATGTAACCTGGACCTCTCTACAGCTATATCCCTAAATAATTCTACCCCTTTTCCACTCTGCTCCGGTCACTCTGGTCATCTTGATAATCCTTGAACACCCAGGTCCATTCTCACTTCGGGATCTTTCCACTTACTGTTTTCCAGAATCTTCCTATGGTTCATTCCCTTACCATCTTTCAGGCTTCTGCTCAAATGTCACCTCAGAGCAGCGTTCCCTGACCACCTGTCACCCTCTGTGACCTCTGTCACTCTCAATTCCCTTATCCTGATTTTTCCAAGCATCTTTTACCTGACATCATCTGCCCCTACTAGAAGATCCATTCCTGGAGGGGCAGGTGCTCTGTCCTGGCAGATGACTAGAGTTCCATAATTCGTTCAATAGATACAAACAAATGAATGAAGTGAACAGAGAAGTGACTTGAGAAATGAATAGATCGTTTAGCAAAGGGCTCTTAAAATTCCCGGTGCATGTACCCTTTGACTCAGCAATTCCACTTCAAACAAGATATTCTATTGATAATACTACCATCTACATGCAGTCAGATGTACAGGATATTCATTGTGGCAAACGTTTGTAAGAGCAGAAGTTCAGAAACAACCTAAATGTTTATCAATAGGGTAATGGTTTAGTATGGTACATCCACACAACAGTACGCCATCCCATTTATACACAAGGCATTTCTCTGGGTGCTTGATTGCACCACTGACTCACCGCTAGGCAGGCTGCCCAATGCCAGGGAAAAAATGTGGGCTTGCCCTAGAGTGAGACAGGGTGGGGTTTGAATCCAGGCCCTGATGCCACCTGGCCCTGGGTACTTCAGTAAGGCCCTTCTTCTCTCTCAGACTCATTTTCTGCATCTGTTAAAGAGGAGGGGAGAAGGTTACAGTGATGTATATAAAGCAGAACCCGGTATACAGTGGGCCCATGGTCCAATGCCAAGCCCCTTCTTTTCCCTTAAGTCAAATCTCCACCTCTGAGGGTTGCCCAGAGGTGAAACTGGCATTTGTGAGGCTACTCTGGGGTTGAGAAATTCAGGTAAGAAAAACAGATTCGACCTAACAGATGAAGATGCTGAAGGGGATAATGTCAGACATAACACAAAGATGGCCTGTCATGTGTATCTCTTCCAGACACCCACAATCTTCTGGAGAATCCATAAACAACAGGACTCCCAACTCAGTCTGTGTGATGGCTGTTTTCACCCAGCCTGTGACAGCCTGGAAAAATGGTTCCACCTGCCACCTGTGCTGAGAAAATGGCAGCAGGGATGAGGCCTGGACGGGAGGGGGGCAGTTCAGACTCAGTCACTATCACTGTCACCGTAAACCACAAAATAATGACAACACACAGTGCTACTATGCACCAGGCACTATTCTAGGCACTGTCACCCATTTAACTCTGCCAGTATCATCATTCAGTGCCCTCATCTCCATTGTAGAAACAGGACACAGACACAGAGAGGTTAAGGAACTTGGCCAGGCTCAAGCTCTCAACCCCAATGCTTTGCTGTAACAGTAGCTCCAGAAGGAAACTGAGAAGCGGTGCTCTAGGAATGGAATATGGGAACCAGAGAGGAGACGGACTTTTCTTGTCTACCCCATGGACTGCTCGACTTTTGTCAGAATGTACATGTATTCCCTGTCCAAATATGATTTTGTTGTTGTTTGGCCACGCCACGCGGCATGTGGGATCTTAGTTCCCCGACCAGGGACCACCTGTGTCCCCAAGCAATGGAAGCCGAGTCTTAACCACTGGACCTCCGGGGAGGTACCCAAATGTAATTTTAAATGAAAAATGGTAAATTCCCCACTCACCTATATATCTATAAATATATGTATATGTACATATACACTTCTCTCTTCTCTTGAAGCATCTATCGTTCCCACTGGTAACCACCCGCTTCAGCTAAGTCGCGGAGGCCTTTGGGCTAACTGCACATGCGGTCTCTGCAGGCCTCACTCTCCGCCCGGTATTCATCTTAGGCGCCCACAGGGTTCCCACCGCAGGCGTTTGATTGTCGACTCTTAGCACTGTATCCCTCCGCCACCGCAGCCCCCGAAGGGTTTATACGTGCTCTTCTTCCCACCAGTCCACGTCTCACATCTCTTCTGGATCTGACCTGCCCATGTCTGCTGCCTCACCTCCCACCCCAGTGGAACTCCATGAGTCCAAGCCAGTCTGGACCTTTCTCCCGGGGTTCCCTCGCCTGGAGTGTCCTTGCCTGCCCTTCAAGGTCCAATCGTACCCGCACCCTTTCCTAAGTGATTTGATTCCCTAGCCGTCTCCCTCCACAGACCGGGATCCCTTCCAGGGCCTACGCCAGTTCTGATTCATGCCTGTGTTCTCAGCACTCACTCAGCCCGGGACACTTAAATTCTTTCCTGCCGTCCCACCCCACCGCGTCCTGCCAACATCACAGCTGAAGCGGTACTCGAACCCAAAGCCTCGGGCGTCCCCGCCCCGTCCCGCCCCGCTTCCCCAGCTTCTCTGCAAGCCCACGTACGCCCCCTGCGATGAGCACGCGTACTGAAGCGGAGTCGCCGCGCGTTCCCAACTGCCCTCTGCAACCCGCCGGCTTGCTGAAGCCAACCACCTACCTCAACGCATGCTCAGCCCGGCGCTCACGCTCGATTCTCGCGCGCCCAGCCTGCGGCGCATGCGCAGGGTCGGCAGCCCGCGAGACGTGATCTCGGTTCGGCCCCGCGAGATCTTCTCGACTTCGTCCTCCCTCGGACCAGCCTACCTTCGGTGCCGCTTCCGGGATGCCCCCACCGGTTCTGGGTTGACCGGTATCCGTTCTCTCCCGCCACGCTCCCCGGTCCCCAGACTCCATTTACAGGCCGGTGGCTTGCAGTGGAACCTCCCCGTCCCCACCCCACACCTGTCTCGGAGAGCGCGCGCCCCCTTACGCCCCGGGAACCAATCAGCAGCCGCCTTAGGTAAGTGGCCCGCGTGCCTGTGCGAGGCTGGCGCCTCGGCGGGGGGCGGGGCACGGGGCGTGTTTCGGGGCCCGGTTCCTCCTTGACCGCTAACTGGTCGCTCGGACGCCGGGCGGTTGTGCGTAACTGAGTTCGGAGTCAAAGCAACGCGTTAAAAAGCGCGTTGGCGGGAGTGGGGTGGGCAGGAGACAGATAATGTGTATATTGGGAAAATTTCAGTTCTGGGAGACCATTTATAATGAGGGCCTGTAAACTGGCGGTAAAGTACTGCGAAATCCCTCCAATAACGTGCAGAGCCCTGGGGACACTCGTAGAGGGCCTACAAACGGATTTTTAAACAGTGGGGAGGTCTTCCAAATTCCTCTAAATACAGTGTAAATAGAAACTTAAGTTCTGGGGTTCCCTATAGGAGACCTGTAAACAGGTGCCTAATTATGCTGAAGTCCCCTGAATAAAACACAGACTCAAGTTCCAGGGGAGACCCCATATAAGAGGCTGTACATACACATGTAATCGCTGGAGAGTCTTGTAGAAAAACAGTGTGAATAGACCCAAGTTCTGGGATGGGAGTGCTCCATTAGACCATAAATACGGAGTTAGGAATTGGGAGTCTCCCCAAATAACTTGCTAATAGATTCTGGGTGATCCCCCAAAAGGAGCATGTTAAGAGATGCTTAAGTACTGAGGAAACCCCCCCCCCCAAAGAATTTGTAATAGGGGAATTTGTAATTTGTAGTTCTGGGAGGTCACCTTAAGAGTCCTGTAAATAAACACCAATAGACTGGCTTTTGTGTGTGTGTGGAGGGGGATCCCCAGAGGAGCCTGGAAACTATTGGGAGTCCCCAAAATGCTTGTAGGTGAACTCTTAAATTCTGGGGAGCTTGCCATAGGGGCTGTAGAGTAAACTCAGATACTGTGGAAGTTCCCAGAATAACATGCATGGGAAGAAGGTCCTCATGGGTTATGTAAACAGACACTTTAGTGCTGGAGCAGAATCCCTATTGAGGCAAGAAAACAGACAATTAAGTACAGGGGAGGCCTCCAGGATAAAGTGTAAACAGAACCTTAATTGCAAGGAGGGGGAAGAGTCTCGATTTCTGAGGAGGCTGTCCTTCAGGAGACTGTAAACAGTCACTTAAGTGCTGAATCAGTTTGCATAAGCATCTGGAAACTGGCCTTGCCCTCCTTTGTCTCAGAAGGCAGTCTTCCACCTAGTTTGTGGCTAGGGGAGAGGTCACGTAGAGCAGTGGGAGAGGAGCTAGACAAGCCCCTACCTGGCTAGCAAAATTACTCCTGCATCCTGTTAACAGATACTCCCGTTCTGGGGAAAGAG